GTTCAGGACAGTGAGACTCATTACACTATGGAAAAAGTATAGTTTAAGCTCACCCAAACCCACTCAGAGCAGTTTCTTTCAGGGTTTCCTGGTGGCAACAATAGATGTTTTACCCATCTTATGTTCTTCAGCCTAATGATATGAATTATTAACTTTGCACTGTGTGGGATCACTGGGGTGGGGATAGGGCTGTCTGTACTCTCAGCTTCTCCAAAGCACTTGTGTAGATCCAACCATAAATTGAACTAAAATGTTCAGTTCTACAGATCAACAATAATGGCTCCATTAGTGTTTCAGGGCCCCACTGTGTGACTTCAATCGAGTTATACTAGGAATGAATATGGCCAGAAATTTAATATTAAATTTAATAGGAAATAAGTTATAATTATGTCAAACAGCTCTGTAATTTTTAGATGACACTGAAATACATAGAAAAGCATCAGTTCCAATGCTACATTGTTAGAATTTAAATGTTGTTAGCTTAGCTAAAATGAGTTAATCATGGATGCTGAATATAAACAACATCCCTATTAGGCAGTCTATTTTCATACTTGAGGCACACAATTCTCTGTGTTACAGGCAGTGCAGCAGAACTCAGCAAAACACTATCCCTCATATCTAATATGATGGCATTTATATACAAAGATGGTTTTCAATAACAGATATTCAGCTGTTTCAAATTATTTCTACTTCATTCATTCAGTATGTCATTGTGTTGCAGAGGATAACTCCTTCGATATTAATAGTAATGGAGATACATTGCATCTGACAGTGCTAACAACATGTTTAACAGAATACATTAGCTTTAATTAGATTAAGGATCTGAAATGAACACTTTTTTCAGATGCAACTGTTTCAAAAAACAATTCTATTTAAATGGTTGCATCTGTTGTACTGGTTCAGAAATTATCTCTGCTTTGATATTACTTTCCATTAGAGCTGTGAAATGATTAAAAAAATTAATTGCGATTAATCACACTATTAAACAATAATAGAATACAATTTATTTAAATTTTTGGATGTTTTCTACATTTTCAAACAGTCAATTAGCTCCAAAATGGAATCTCAAATGTGCTACCCATTCCCAGTCAGTAACTTCACAGCCTTCTTTCAGGCTGCTTTCTCAGTATCTGTCCAGGTCCTTTCTTCCACACTCATTGCTGCTACCATGTCCTGGTGGGGAGGCACCATTATCACAGTATGGAAATAGACAGCAGTGTGGGCTAGGATGGTCACCAAGTGAAGAACAAAGGGAGGAGGAGCACTTGATTTCAATTACAACACGGAATACATAGTGTACAGTGCTCTATTTTTTATTACAATTATTTGCACTGTAAAAAGCAAAAATAGTATTTTTCAGTTCACCTAATACTAGTATTGTAGTGCAATCTCTTTATCATGAAAGTTGAACTTACAAATGTAGAATTATGTACAAAAAAAACTGCATTCAAAACCAAAACAATGTAAAACTTTAGAACCTACAAGTCCACTCAGTCCTATTTCTTGTTCAACCAATCGCTCAGACAAACAAGTTTGTTTACATTTGAAGGAAATAATGCTGCCTGCTTCTTGTTCATAATGTCACCTAAAGCGAGAACAGGCATTCACATGGCACTGTTGCAACCGGCATCGAAAGATATTTATGTGCCAGATGTGCTAAAGATTCATGTGTCTCTACATGCTTCATCCACCATTCCAGAGGACATGTGTCCAGGCAGATGAGAGGTTCTGCTCAATAATGATCCAAAAAAGTGTGGACCGACATGTTCATTTTCATAATCTGTCTCAGATGCCACCAGCAGAAGGCTGATTTTCTTTTTTGGTGGTTCGGGTTCCGTAGATTCTGCATTGGAGTGTTGTTCTTTTAAGACTTCTGAAAGCAAGCTCCACACCTCATCCCTCTCAGATTTTAGAAGGCACTTCAGATACTTAAACCGTGGGTCGAGTGCTATAGCTAATTTTAGAAATCTCACAGTACCTTCTTTGCGTTTTGTTAAATTTGCAGCGAAAGTGTTCTTAAAATAAACAACATGTGCCGAGTCATCTGAGACTACTAGAACATGAAATATATGGCAGAATGTGGGTAAAACAGAGCAGGAGACATACAATTCTCCCCCAAGGAGTTTAGTCAAAAAATATGTTAATTAAATTTGTAATGAGTGTTATCAGCATGGAAGCACGTCTTCTGGAATGGTGGCTGAGGAATGAAGGGGCATATGAATGGTTAGCATATCTGGCACATAAATACCTTGTAATGCTGGCTACAAAAGTGAAATGCAAACACCTGTGCTCACTTTCTGATGACACTGTAAATAAGAAGTGGGCAGCGTTATCTCCTGTAAATGTAACCAAACTTGTTTGTATTAGGGATTGGCTGAACAAGAAGTAGGACTGAGTGGACTTGTAGGCTCTAAGGTTTTACATCATTTTGTTTTTGAGTGCAGTTATGTAACAAGCAAAAAAAAAAAAACCTACATTGTAAGTTGCATTTTCATGATAAAGAGATTGCACTACAGTACTTGTATGAGGTGAATTGAAAAATACTATTTAGTTTATAATTTTTACAGTGCAAATATTTGTAATTAAAAATAATAATATAAAGTGAGCAGTGTACACTTCATATTCTGTTGTAATTGAAATCAATATATTTGAAAATGTAGAAAAACATCCAAAATATTTAATAAATTTCACTTGGTATTCTATTGATTAAAACGGCAACTAATCACAATTAATTTTTTTAATCATGATTAATTTTTTGAGTTAATCGCGTGAGTTAACTGCAATTAATTGACAGCCCTATTATCTATAAAATGTCATTTTTTTTTCCATTTGGCAGTAAGTATTTTGTAAATACTATGAACTAGCCTCACAAAATAGTAACAAATCTCACTGCTTTTACATTTTCTTTAAGATTTAAAGATATTTTATTCTCAATGAATGTCTTTTAAATTTGTCTGTATAGTTTATTGCTTTTGAACACTAACTTCAGTGAATTTTTATTCTAACAGAACCCAAAATGTCATTTTGAGGTTCACTTACGGTGAAGTGACCAGATGTGCCAATTTTATAGGGACAGTCCCGATATTTGGGGCTTTTTATATTATCCCCCCCCCCCCCATCCAGATTTTTCACACTTGCTATCTGGTCACCCTAGGTTAACTTCACAAAAAAAAAAAACCAATGGGGAAAATACTATTTCTGATCCTCATAGTTTATTATAGTGGAGAACCTGTATTATTTCTTAATTCAGGTTTTATTTATGCATTTCATTAGTCCAGTACTTCAAAGCAGCTTTGTCACACTGACTGAAATGGGAGCAGCACCAGGCTCTAAATCTTCCCTGAAATTCAACTTTGTATTTAAGAGGTTCTCAACACCAAAATGAAATGCTGCAACCACACATCACACACAGACAGAGGTTATTGTGCCTTTTTTCTTGTGTATTTATATTTGTATGAAACTGCTTAGGTATCCAAAAAGTGAAGATCCTTACAGAATATATGTGTTGGAGGCTACCCAAAAATGCTTTCAACAGTTTTATATCAGAAATATATCAATTTTAATACACTTTAAGGTTATCGTTTTACGTTTTTGGAAAAATTGAAAGAATGTGTCAATTATAATTTTGAAGAAAAACTGAGTGTGAAATTGTCAATCCGAAAACACTTGTTGAATGAGCCAATATATTTAGAGGGTTTTGTAGCTCAATAAATTTAGTGGTAATTTAATGAGATCCTCTTAATCAACTAAGTACAGTTTAAAAAAAGCAACACTGAAATTAGCAAAATATTACCCACTAATAGTTGTCTCTTACAACTCTTACACTGCCAACATTTCTAGCTAGATTAACAAATATCTTCATCATTTGTCCAATTTTTAGCTTCTAGAACAGAGACCTCAGGTTTTACAAGATGTTCTTTGTTCATCTGTTTTACTACTAGATTCTTTCAAAAAGAATAGGTGTAAAGCATAAAAATAATGTGTTTCAAAGGTCATCCTCATTCACCCATAACCCACCACTGTACTTGAATGGCAGAGCAACATAAAGTGAAAAAGGACTCTACATGTGTTTATAACTAAAAACAGTGCAAAACTCACAAGCACTGGAAAGTCAACAAGTGACAGAGTGATTATTTCAAACATGTATAAACACTAGCTTGGTTGCATGTAAGAGCCACAAAATATGGAAATAAGAAGGGTGAAAAGCTGTGACTAACTCCTGACACTTCAAAAATGGTTAATAATCCAATATGGTCTTCTTTAAAATTTATGTTGGCATTTATTATCAGATCAACTCATTCACCTTCTGCTTGTAAGTCTGGCTGATGGCAACATGCATGTATTACATACTAAGGATTTAGCTCCTATCCTGAGAGGTGCTGGAGACCTCCTGGAAAGTGTGAGTATCCTCAATTCCCAGTGAAGTATCTCCCATGAAGTGCTTAGCACCTTGCAGGATCAGATCCTTTCCAATTTCTTAACTTTTTATAAGTTTGGCTGCTATTAGTGGGAAACCCTATTCTCTTTATTCCCTTTCATAGACGCAGAGGGCTCTGGATACAGCAGAACCAGTTTCCATGTGGGCAGGAAAGCAGAATCCCAAGATTCAAACAGGAGCACACACCTTCAACAAAGTTCAGCAGGTGCTCCTTCTCTGTCACTTCGGTGAGTATCTGAATTGGCCAGAGGATCTGTCACTATGATCCACCAGCCTCTCCCAGCACCTTTGCAAGAGGCAAGTTAAAAGGCTATAGACTCTATTCCAGCTCTGAGGTTGCAGCAGGTGCCACAAAGGAACTTTGTAGCCTGCAAGGGAGAAGGATTCTGTCTCCCCAAACTCCAAAGGATTTTTCCTGTGCCAAACACATATACTTGGGATTGGTGCAGCAAGACAGATTTGCATTTTTGGTAAATTTCAAATATTAATTTCAGTTTAAAAAATAAGAATTCATGCTGAAGCTTTTGCAGTAGCAGAACAGTGGTTTTTGCACATACTGTACCTGCACATCATTGACATTCATCCTTGTTCCTTCCTTCCCAACAAAGATGTCATCTATGTCAACAAGAATGTACCTATCCAAGGACAATGTGAGCTTTTTCCCAGACAGGAAAGAGACGGCATCTATAAAGATCAGCTTGTGCAGCCAAAAGTTCAAGTTGTTGCCGAAGAGGACTCTCTGAATCCCATCATGAAGCCCCAGGTCATGAACTACTGTGGCATGGAGAGCATTTTTAGTGATGGGTAGTGGGAGGTTTTCTGTAGTCTTTATTTTTGCAAATATCACTGGCTGATAGGTGGAATGATTAATCTGGAAAACAGTCCAGTCATTTCCAGGCAAGGGACCTTTATCAAGCTTAGAGGATTTAGTTACATGAAGCAATGGGGAATGAGGGTTAACACAACAGTCCTTAACACCCAGATTGCCATGAACATGGAAAGGAAAGCCCTTAAACTGAATGCTCTGCAAGCTGTTCTCGCTGCCTTTATGGAATCCAATGACACCCACACCATATTCAATACAGTATTTATCTAGAAGGCCTTTGTTCCATGAGTCCATATTCACATACTTTAAAATATTTTCATATACAATGAGAACATATTTGCCTTTATTTTTGTCTATAAGCACTGGAAGGTCACCTTTCCCAGGAGCAATCTCTATGTGATACTGAAATCTGCTGGATTCTAGAATTGTTATTATATCTTGACCGAGTGTTGAGTACTGGCTTTCCACAAACACCAGCACTACAGGATCAGTCCTCATGGGATCAATGGGCTTCACTGTCTTCAGCTCCACTAACTTGTATGGCAACAGCTGAAGATCACCACATTCCAATTCTGAAGAGATCTCAGAAAGTTCATTTTCCTGTTTGTAGCCATTATACAAATAGTAAGCAGAAATAACAATGCTCACCATACAAAAAGTGGCAAGCAAGATAACTGTTCTTTGAAAATGTCTGTGAAGTTTCATGATAAAACTCATGTTGTATACTTGCCTTAGATTGCTTCCAAAAGCAGCAGCATTAAAAAAAAACAACTTTTCAAGAACTTGTTCCAGTCCTGCTTAATAATTTATGTCACCATTGCAGCACATATGACTATCTTCAGCAAGCTTTATAGACAGTATAGTCTAAAAGAAAAAGAAAAGTAGAGGTTTAATGCATCCATAAAAATATTATTGCATTTCAACTAGCTGGTAGCAGGCAAACCATTGCTAAGTATAGGCTCAGAAATTAATTCAGAACTTCAGTAGTTTCTTTTGTAATGTTTTAACCAGTTCTGTTAATTCCCCCCTCCATTATTTATTATATTCATATTCTATGACTCACAAGTTTCACTTTTGCACATCCTAATTCTACAGGACATGAGTAAGAGATCCTATACCCGACCTGTAGTCTAGTCCCAGTTACTTTCAGCGTGCTTGTTACACAAGCACCACTTTGGTCATCATCAGGAACTGAGCACAGGATATCAAAAGCTAAGAGACTCTCTACATCTTGAATAAAAAGATCAAGGCCCAGATTTTTAAAGTGGGTTTTAATTGGAATTAGATAGTTAGGCACCTAGTGGGATTTTCAAAAATGCTGATCTGCATCATTAGGCACCTAAACACCTTTTAAAATCTGGCCCTAGATCCCATAGCTGGCAGCTGTAAGAGATCACCTTTTCTGTGGATCAAGCAGAGAGAGGGACATGTTACATACATTGAAAAGAGGGTCACACTGGCAGAGAGCTTCTGCAGACTGAGCTCCATTCCACACAAGTATGCATATCCCCTGCCCAACTCCCACATCCTGCCCCCACTTGCATAGGAAACTGTATCAATTCTGTTGCAAGTATACAAAAGAAGACAGGGATTTGGCCTGCACTAAAAACTTGAAAGATACAAAGCAGCACACCCAAAATTGGCAAGACAGGAGCTTCTCCTGTGGAACTCAAAGAGTAGGACACAGGACATTCCAATGGTGTCCAGCCAAATATTTTCCTGTTATATAATTTCCTTTCCTGTCATTTTTCTAAAAGCAAAGCAAGCAAGCAAACCCTGCCTCTCCCCACCCTCCACACATCGGGGATTTCATAACAAGATTAAAAAAAAGGTAAGAGAAGTTATGGTTGTATGCTTAAATGCTTAAAGTTAAAATTTCTCTCAAGAAGTTAAAGTTGCATGCATATCCTTAACTCTGCCCTGTTGTGTGTACACATGATGGTCACACACTACTTCTCAGACAATACAATATAAATTACAATCTTTTCTACTATGTTAGATGCATATGTGTACTAGAATGTACTCTTCTGTTTACATTAAGTATTTTATACTAAAAATATGCAATAAATCATGCTTATATGTTCCATATTAAATATAACATACTCCAGATTAAGTATAACACAGGGCAATAACAGAAACTTACTGGCACATGAGCCACCTAAGTTCGCAACTTGTGCTCTGGGCTGTACCTAAAGAAAACTGTGGTGTTGACTAAAAGGATAATAGCTACTGACAAAATTATTAAAATACCTATTTGAAAATATAAGCTGGACAAATATGACAATAAAATTAAATATAAAAGAATAAAGCAAGTATTGCAAGACAGCTAACTAAGATTGCAACAAAAATTGTGTATTATATAGTATTATTTAGGAAACAGAACATCAATGTAATTGCAGAATGTATCATATATAATACACAGGGGTTGATATTAAGTTTGTGTTTGCAACATTTAGCGGTGTCTTTTTCTGACTTCTGAGTGCTTAACCACACACCCTCTTATTGTATTTTTAATATACCTCTTTCTGTTTCATTAATTTTTTTTTAAATCTAACACTGAAGGAGCCACAAAATTTAAAGCCAAAATCCATTGCTAATATATGTAAAATCTACAGGGTTAAACTGTAATGGACCTCACTGACAATAGTGGGTAAATCCATCTGTAAGGGCAAAACCTTGCAATTTGTGTACAAACTGGCAGATGATGCCCGCCGTATACCTATTATGCAAAATTTACAATTGTGCATGTTTTTAAGAGGACTTTGGCCCACAACACTTTGTGCTCTGCTTCTGCCAAGTTATCAAGCTATTTTGCAAAGTGCCTATTCCTGGCACTTTGATAATATTTATTTCAGAAAATAACTGAACAAGACAGAATAAGTTTGTGCACCACAAGAAATGCAAGAAAAACTAATGTTTACAAATGGTTGAAGGAGAAGATTAGTAGTGAAAGAGATTTGGGGCTCTTTCCTTCATCTAATATAGTTAATAGCAAAACTCCAAACTTAATTGCCAATTTAAATCAGGACTGGAGCAGGCCTTTTATTTTCAAATTTCTGATTGGAAGTGTTACTAAAAACTCAATGTCCTCTTAACTTTCTCAACTTTAGCTACATTCCAGGGGCTTGATCCTGCACAGTGAAAGTAAGGAGTATAAACACAAGGTAAAAAGTAATGAGCAGGAAAGTAAGCTGAGGGGAATCCAATCCTGTTTTAAAGGCAGCTTTAGAACATGGCACCCAAGTTTTTCCTGCTTAATAACAGGACCAGGGAAAAGTTGTGAAAGCATAGCTATGTTTCTCATTATATGATGGGGATTATGCCCATGTCTTGCCAGACAAATTCATTCTCTGCCCATCTCTTTCCCTTTTTTACCCTGTGTTCTTGAGAGCAAAGGAAAGGTGCACAGGTGTATTAAGACTTACCATACACAGTGGAGAGGCTTACACCTAGCTCTTATCTTTAGCAACTGGACATAACCGTCACTCACATTTGCACTGGGGCACAACAAACTTGCCCTCCCTGTTGCACACTGTGTTCAAAGCATAAAGGTGAATTGTTCAGGATTGGGGGTGGGGTGTGTGTGTGTGGGGGAGATCCTGGCTCTAGAAAGTAGAGACAGCTGTCTGAAAAGAGAATTTGCAAATTTTATTAAAAATAAAGACGAAATGACAATCTGCATGTGTTACAAGGATCAACAGAATAGTTTTGAATAGTGAGCACCGTTACATGCTTAGGCTATTATCTTCAGAGGGACTATCAGCCTAGCTAGCAATAAAGAGATGGTTGATCTGAGTGGAAGTAAGGTAACGAAGAGAAAGTTCAGTCTTGAACGATTGAGGCAACATTAAGAGGTTGTTTTCAGGCTTCTCATTTGTGGACACAATTTGTAGAATGTTTGTGGATTTTTTTGTTTTGTTTCTAAACACAATTATTATGTTAGACTACCAATGAAATACTTCCTGAAAGCAATCTATTTTATGGAGTGATCCGAATAAAGAATTGTGGTAATTTGATTAATAAAACAAAAGAAAGGGAGTTCCAAGCATAAGGAGCAGCACATAAGAAATCAAAAAGGCTTCTGAAAAGTCTGAGATTTTAGAAGAGTTATGAGTTTGTTGGTACTGTTTTGGTTTGGTACCTGTAAAAACTCGGGACCGTTCCTCAACTAGTATAACCAACATAGCTCATTCACTTCAACTGAACCATGAGGATTTACAGCAGATGAGGAGCTTGACTCATATGTAAAATAATACAGTACAACCGAATCCAAGAGCCCCAAACATTGCACTCCCACTATTGTAGGGCCTTGTACCATTATTGTACAATACTATACAATGACTTTTGAAGGAGAACATGCCAATCAGTCTGGAGCAGTGCAAGCTACCCCTGCACTTCTGCACCGAAGTCCCTGTCTGAGCATCCCTAATTTGATCTCTAAGACTTTTGCATTCATTAAGTATCTACCTGCGGATTGAGACCAGAATCTATTAATCTAGGTACTACAGCATTGCTTCTAACATGTTATCTCACAGGGCCTCCCAAAGATGAAAAGAAATAATCTCTTTTGTCTTCCCCATAAGTAAATTTGAATAGCTAGAAATATTTTGATACATAGACAAATAGGTTTCTTGTATGTGAGAAGAACCTACTAAAGGAAATTTAAGTCAAGGAAATGAGCTTTGTATTAAATTCTGAATACAAGGAGTACCACGGTCATTCTTCTCTCTTATGGGAGCAACTTCAATAGTCCAGCTCCTGGGAAAGTTCTGTCTCCGATACCCACTAGTGCTCATCCAATTAGTTGACAGTTTCATCGTTCCAGCGGAACATAGCTGCAGCGGGAAGTCATGCGCATAGAAGTGGTAACTGCCCAGGTAGCTAGGACCAATCCCCATAAATGGCTGTGAATATTAGGCTAGGAATCTTCAATTGGCCTCTGTATTCAATGGTAAGCCAATGCTGAGAACAGCACCCAGCATGATGTGCTCAAAAAAAACAGTGTTACTCTGCAAACAAACTGCTGTGCTTTGTGCCACTTACAGCTTTTTCTGGGTGTGTGGTTTAATTCCTGGATATAATGACCAAATCCTCTGTGTAAATCAGTGTAGCTAAATTGACTTTAATTGACCTATGCTGATTTACCAGCTGAGGATCTGGCACATTAGTGGGTTGCAGTAATTGAGGCTGGAGGTCACATATGTATAGATCATGCATATGCCCTTATTGGTTTTTAAAGCATACACATATCAAAGCATTAAAAATGTGTATATTACCTTTGCAAAAAGATCTCTCCACTTAAGCCTATGGATCAGGGCATTCAAATTCATGTAGCTGGCCTGCAGCCTCCTTTGTGGTGCACACCCCTCGTGGACTTGGGCTGTGGGTGAACATAGTGGCCACATCCCCAGCATGACAATTTGCCCCCCTCTGTATGGTAGAGGAAAAATCTGCCACAGAGATTCCCATGGTGCACAGGGAAGCATGTAGTCCCCTTGCATGGGCTCTCCACTAGTGTGCAATGGTCCTCTGTACAATGGAAATACAATTTTTCTGTGTGCAGGACTTAAAAAATAATTGGAGAAAGTTATACTCTTGGCCATTCCGTGACATAATTAGTATTTGTGTTTTTTAGAAATGACATCAATTCTAATTTAATCCATCCCTGCATATTTGGGGTCAATTTCTCAACAACAACAACAACAACAAAAAAAGTACATCCAAATGGAATCCCACCCTTCATACAAATTGCAGTCTGTTAAAATTGTGACGGGTTTCAGAGTGGTAAATTGTGTTAGTGTTTGTCAGCAAACCTTTTAACCCACCAGAAGCAGTTCTCTTTAACTCAACTATATTACAAACCTAGTTTCATCAGCATAATTAATGAAAAAATTAAAAATATCCAAAGCCAAAAGAGAAAATAAAGCCTTTAAAAACAGTTTCCAATTTGAAGCAAGATCATTTAGTTTAAATTAAGGTATACCTAAGCCACATATTATATACGCTGATCCCTGAGTAGGAACAGTACAGTTATGCTACACTCAGCTCCTTCTATATTCTGGTATACATAAATTCTTCTTGACATTTGTATTATGAAAACACCTCTGGTTTACAAAGAACAAACAAAAATTATGTGAAGTCAGGCCTCCCGAGTTACCCATCAAATATTATTTACTGTAAATGATATTTCTGCAGTTACATATAGCTGCATAGATCTTTATGTCTCTCTCTCCTAACCTAATAACACATTAAACCAAAATTCTAGCTCTGTTCCTTTGCACACTGACCACTGCCTGCACAGCTGCAACATAATGTTCAAGTGCAATTTGAAAAACTGGTTTTAAATAAAAACCAGAAACAATACAAATATTTTCCATATTGTGTAGCATAAGCATTAAAAACTATTATGATTGGCACATTATTTAACTATACTGAACAAAAATGCCATTTTTAGACAAACAATCATGAAATATGTTGGAGAAAATAAAGTGTTGACATAATTAGGGAGTTATTTTGAAATTATTACATTAATGTTGCTAAACAGGCAAACCTTTGGGAGTTAACGAATGACAAGGTATGAAGGAACAATGTCTATTTGTTGGCAAGCAATGGTGGTACAGATGATAGTATGCATATTTTGGATCCCCAATAAAAATACATACTGCTTCCAAGTACTTGGTACCAATCTCTGTCTGCCATAAAATTCAAGCACTGAACACTCAGGAAAATACAAAATAAGAAAGCTGATATTTAGTCTATATGTTTGGAAGAGATTTTTAACTGAAAGGGATATTGATATGTAACAGTCAAGGAAAGTAATTGAAAGCTATAAGTATCACATAATTTCAGGGCTGGAACAGATGACTATCTGGGGACTTAACATTTCTAAGTGTACCAACTAAAAGGAAGGATGGATTAGATGGACTAAAGATTAATATTTCCAAAACAATTATCTGGCAGGCCTGAAGAGTCAACTAAATTGTGTTTTAAGTAATTTACCTAGATAAAATTACTTAAAAAGGCTGATAGAACTTCTCAGGTATATACATGATATCTGAAATAAACATTAGCACATGCCAAATTCTGCATGGACTTGGGAAAATTTCAGATATTACCAACTAATGGGTTATGACTGTATTGTTATGATAATATTTTATTTTTACTAACACAGCAATCAAGCAGCTCTCAATGTCCTAGTACACTAGAGGGCAACAGTGTCACACAGAAAAACCTATTCACTGCAGGGCTGGCTTGGGTACCAGACCAGGAAGACAGATGCTAACTGAGCTAATAAATAAGAACTCTCCCAAATGTGATAAACTTGGGATGTGTCGTTAAAGGCTGTTTTTAGAAACGAAGCCATATCTTGCCAGTTGAAGGGTTAATAAACTACGCTGATAAATATACATCCCCGCAAATAATCGCTGCATACATAACTCTCCAGGGCATTCACACCAGCAGAACCACCCAGGAGCTAAAGGTCTGAACAGATCTGATTAAAATGAGAGAGGGGAAAAGGTCCACACGCACTAAAAGTTGCACAGTCACCAATAAGTATGCCCCGCAGAAGTTTGTTGGGGGGCGGCCGGGAGTGAGGAGATTAGCAGATAATAGAGTTTGGAGACTTTTCTGTCTAGGCTTAAAGCACAAAATGTGAGCCGAGCCCTGCCCCAATGATTACCTCCAGGTGCACTCCAGAAACATGCCGGTGCTGCTTCCACTTCCCCTAGACCTGCTGCATGCAGCTCCTCCTGGGACGGGACGAGTGGCCGCTGCCAGTCTTTCCCTCTCTCTTTCCGCTGCCCTCCCAATCAGGGGCCGCTCAGTCCGGTCTGCAAAGCCCGAACCGAAGCACCAGGAGGAGGCAGGCGGTACAGCCCCTGGAGCTTCCCCTCCTCCCCCAACCAGGGGGAGCTGGAGGTGACTCTAGGCAGCAGCCGGCACGACCCAAGCGCCCAGGAGACGAAGGAGCCAAGCAAAGCTTTTAGTAGCAGCCGCTGCCGGCCGAGAGGTGAGGGGCTGCGCTGCAGGCGGCGGGGCGCAGAGGCTGTGGGGTGCCGCGGTGGAGCGTGGGCCAGCCAGAGCCCGCCGCCTCTCGCTCTAGAGAGCTGGATGCTGCTCTTCTCTGTGCCTCTCGCACTCGGAGAGGCGGCGGGAGCAGCTAGCTGGGGACTCCGGCTTCTCCGCCATTGGCCGGTGGAGGCTCCTCCCTTCGCGAGTCGCCTCCTTCGTGGGGAGGCTTGTGCAAAGGGCTGGGTGCGTGGCTGCGGAGCTGGCCGCGGCGGGTTTTAGTCCGTGCGCTGCCGCCACGCGGGGGATGGGGCGCCTCGGCCGCCGGGGGAGCCCAGCTGCTGTACTCCCCCACTCTCTGCAGGCGGCTTGCTGCGAGGCGCCCAGCTCCGCTCCCGCTTCACGGAGCAGTCCGGAGGGGGAGGCGGCGTTGCAGGGCAGGGTCTTTTCTCGTCCCCGAGGATAGTCTGGGTATTGCCAATGCCTCCCTGGCCAAAGACGCCTGCTATCTCTTGCAGTGCACTTTCCTGCCTCCGTTGTATTGAACCAACCGGTGAATTATTAAAAGGTATTTCCACCCAAGGATGCCCTCCAGGCCCCTCACGCCTACGTGTTTCATCCAGTCGCCTCTCCCAGCTCTGGCGAGCTAGATACTTACATGGCCTTCCTCCCTAGTTATGTAGCTATTCCACCTTAACCCCGTGGAGGTTTGTTATTGCACAGATCTACCTGGTTGCATTTATGCACTGGATCAGTGTAAAGAGTGACCTGCTCCAGTTTATTTCAGGTGCAAACCCACCCATTCATCCAAAATCTTAAACCGTCATTTCAGTAAAGAATTAGGATTGTATTTTTTTGCCTCTGTCCACCCTTAGTCTGACATAGTAACTACATCCGAGAACATGACAAACTAATCTCGAGGGTCAGGGTGTGTATGTATACAGCATGTAATGGGGAAATCTATTGCAAACAGGAATGTAGAGTGGGGACTTGGAGCCAGAATACCCAAATTAAATTCCTAACTCATTATCTGCTAGTGAGCAACTCACAAAAGCCCTTAGTTTACACATTTTAAACTGAGTGTGATAGTACTTACCGCCTCAGTAATTAATAGTTGTAAAGCATCCAGCAATGTTGGAGTAAAAAGCACTATAGAAATACAGATAATTAATATTTGTGTGTGTGCATGCGTGTGTCTCACACACACACAGACACACCATGTGGTTTGGGCATATGAAAGCTAAATATGGGGGCACAGATGACATGAGTGCTCTGGTTACAATACAAATAAGTATGAGAAATTATACATTTTGTCATACACTTCATTTGCATTGTTATTTATTATTTGTATTCTCATAGCAACTAGGAGCCCTAGCTATGGACAGTGCTGGTACTGTACAAACACAGAGCAAATAGATGAATAGGGACTGTAATTTTGTTCAATCTGTAGAGTGTCTAGCACAATGTGTCTATAGTGTTGATATTGGGAAGTACTTTGGGCCAAATCCTGTTCACATGCCAGCAGTCCCATTCTCAGTAGGACTGGTAGCATGAATGAGATGAGCAAGAATAAAGATTCTTTATTCACTCACACATGAATAAGGCTTGAAATGCAGTAAGTGTCAGGGGCATGGTTGATGCAGCAGCGCCGCACTGATTGGTGCTTATGAATCACCTCCTGGCTCCAATTCTGCTGTTCTTTCTCAAGCAAAATTCTCAATGAAGAACGTGAAAATTGTTTCCAGAAGAATATATTTATCATATACTGGTAGTTAAGTTATAAGAGAGTCTCAACTTGTAACCTCAGAATCCTGTTCCTTCTGCCCCATTACCCTAACTTTAATGGGGGCAAAGGGAAGTCTGATTAAAATCCTTCACTAAAACATACCCTTTGTAGTGCAGCTTCTGTCAAATCCAAAACTTCTGTTTTCTGGATTTGGTCCAAAACAGTGAAAATCCCAGAAAATCAGCTATATATGAGAGATTTGGGGATGAAATCTTGCAAGAACAGCTCACAAGTTTTCAGCACCACTGATCTGAAGCGTACCCTTGCTGTCCTTTCACTCTGTACCTAAACTTCAAACCCCCATTTTAAAATAATTTTGGATTATAATCTGTAAAATGCTTCCTTGGCCCATCTCTAGTTATAAGCATGACAAATTTCACTGTGTGTTACAAGAAATCTTTATGTTACAACATTAACATTAAACCTTCTACATTGTTCTAACTTTTCATTGAAATGATTTGTTTCCCAGTTAGATGTCATTCCATAAACCACACAACTGCTTTTTGTAGGGTATATTTTATGCAGCTTTGCCAAGCTAAGTAAAGTCAGGCAGGGCCGGCTTTAGGCCGATTCCCCCGAATCGGGCCCTGCGCCTAAGAGGGCCCCGTGCCCTAAAAAAGAGTGCCTAACTTAGGTGCCTTTTTAATTTTTTTACTCACCCGAAGGTGGTCCGGGCAGGGCCGGCTCTAGCTTTTTTGCTGCCCCTAGCAGCAAAAAAAAGTTCCGCCCCCCCAGACCCCCTGCCGAGCGCCAGGCCGCGCCGCCCCCTGCTGAGTGCCACCGGAAGCCCC